CTCTGACCCTCTTCCCTCTCGTGCTTTCTATCTCTCATTCTCTCTCTCTCTCTCTCAAATAAATAAATAAAATTTAAAAAAAAGAACAAATATAACATATATTAGAAATTTTAGTATATTTTATAATACCTTTCCATCTGGCAAAATCAGTATTTTATAAAAACTAAGAGAAAAAGTAGGGCAATCAAAAAACGAAAAAAATATAGCTCAACTATTTTCCTATCTTTTCCAATACTATTACACACCCACTGAACAAATTAGGTCTCTGGCAAAAGTTTCATTGTTTTTGACTGAACTGACCTGTCAATTTTGTCAACCAATTCAGTGAGAGAGTGTTTCATTCATTTGCTCTGTTGTCTGAGTGGAAGGCTGTGTTACCATTCCCTACACCCAACCTGGCTATATCACAGAGGGTTTCCAATGAAGGTTTTTCAGATTATACACTCATCCAACCTTAACTCTCTTTACAGTCCAGAAATTATTTTGTTACCTATCCAACAAACCTTCATTAGAGGAATAACAGAAAATTAACAGATTACCAGCAAGCCAAAATTTTTCTCTGAGAAATAATGAAAGTTCTACTAAAATTAAATGTTTGACTCTTGTAAAAGCTAAAGAATACTCAATATAAATCTAAAAATCACCTTTTTACTCACTGCATTTTGACTTTGACTAGATACAGCAAATTCTTGTTTGATTTGCAGAACAAGGTTCTTAGGTGTTCATTCTCTGCCTCGAGAGGTAAGTGTAATTTTTTAAAAGCTTTCTTTCAGTCAGCAGTAAGAAAATAACCTATTGGGAACGTAAACTGGTACAGCCACTGTGGAAAACAGTATGGAGCTTCCTCAAAAAATTAAAAATAGAACTACCATATGATTTAGTAATCACATTACTGGGTATTTACCCAAAGAATACAAAAACACTAATTTGAAAGGACATATGCACACCTATGTTTATTGCAGCATTACAACAGTCAAGTTATGGAAGCAATATTGAGAGATGAATGGATAAAGTGTGGTACATATATAATGGAATATTATTTAGCCATAAAAAAGAATGAAATCTTGCCATTTGCAAAACATGGATAGAGCTAAAGTGTATAATGATAATAAGTGAAATAAATCAGACTAAGACAAATACCATATTTCATTCATATGTGGAATTTAAGAAACAAAATAAACAAAGGGAAAAAAAGACAAAACAAGAAGCAGACTCTTAACTATAGTTGAGAACTGATGGTTACCATAGTGGAGGTGGGAGGGTGGATGGATAAAATAGGTGATGAGATTTTCACTATATTATACGTCGGAAATAATATAACACTATATATTAACCATACTGGAATTAAAATTAAAAACTTTAAAGAAAAATAAAAGAACCTATACTAGATTTTTCATCTTTCGATGCACTGTGGCAGAATCCTTTACATTTTCTTCCATTCTATCAGCAACCCAGATGAACAGACAGTACTCAACAAGTATATTTATTAAAAAATAATTGCCCTGTTCTCTGTGAAACATCATGTGGATTACAAAAACAAAAAACAAAAACAAGGCATGTATTTTCCCTTTCTACTGAGAGCCTACAACCTAAAAGTGCTATTAAAAGAGAAACGATTGATTACAAAAACTAGGGACATCTGGGTTTCAGTGTTAGTACTCAGTCTCTCCTTAACCAAAATTTCATTAGGCTCCTTGGAACTCCCTTCTCAACTAGGGCCTGACTTGTTGGGCTTCCTTGTTCTTCTCTGCATTATCTAATTTTAGCAAGAATCCTTTTAGCTGGGTATAGCTAGAAACTCCGTTTACCCCGATGTAGTAATTTTCCATCCATTGACACCCCCCCCCTTGACCATAAATGTCTCCTTTTCCTTGTATTCAGAGTTGAGCCCATGTACTCACTTCAGCAGCACATATACAGAGTTGAGACCAGTTCTTTTTTTTCTTTAACACATTTCATTTTTTGGGGGGGTAAGATTTTTAAAAATTACTTATTTTTGCCAGAGAGAGAGAGCATCCAAGTGTCTCGAGTTGAGTCCAGTTCTATACTGAGGTCTCTCTTCCCCTATTAAAATAGCTTTTCTGAATAAAATGTTTTTATTGCTTTAACTATTGTCAAGTTCTAGTTTTTCTGATAGCACCAAACTAGTTAATTGTTCTTAAGTTGCTTAACCTTTTTGGGTTTCAGTTTACTCATCTGTAAATTGAAGGGAGATGGGAATAAAATGAACTCCAGGGACCCTTGCCAGGTCTAAAATTCTCATGAAGAAGGGTGCCTGGATGGCTCAGTCGTTAAGCCTCTGCCTTTGGCTCAGGTCATGGTCCCAGGGTCCTGGGATGGAGCCCCACATCGGGTTCCCTGCTGGGCGGAAAGCCTGCTTCTCCCTCTCCCCTGCTTGTGTTCCCTCTCTCGCTGTCTGTCAAATAAATAAATAGAATCTTTAAAAAAAAAATTCTCATGAAGAAATCTGGTAGAGGAAAATGAGGTACAGAAAAATTAAGCGATTTGGACTTGCTGGAGGTCATGGGAGCTGTGAGGCCAGGATGTCATCCAGGTCTCCTGATTCCCAGCACAGTGTTCATTTAACAAAACCAGCTGTCTTTACCTCAATGCTGAAACCAAAAGCCTAACAAATCCAGTGAAATGCCATGGCATCCAGCGTGCTACTTCAGCTGAAAGTGCCTCCTTCATCTTACAATCTGTTGTTCAGCTTTCTTTAATCTCTAAGCAACATTACATTTGTTTCCTAAAATCATTTTTACTTCTGGGAATATAAGTGATATTACTTTTGACAATAAAACTAGTATAAAACATAATCTTGAATGTAGATGACAGCAAAAAGTAAAAGATTTTATCCTCTCTCTTACCAATATTTCCTTTTTTTCTTTTATTTGAGAAAGAGAGAATGAGAAAGAGAGAGAGCATGAGAGGAGGGAGGGGCAGAGGGAGAAGCAGACTCCCTGCTGAGCAGAGAGCTGGATGATGGGAACTCGATCCTGGGACTGGATCCCGGGACTCCAGGATCATGACCTGAGCTGAAGGCAGTCGCTTAACCAACTGAGCCACCCAGGCGCCCCTTCCTTCTTATTTTTTTATTTTTTTTAAAGATTTTATTTATTTATTTGAGAGAGAGAGAATGAGAGATAGAGAGCACGAGAGGGAAGAGGGTCAGAGGGAGAAGCAGACTCCCCGCTGAGCAGGAAGCCCGATGTGGGACTCGATCCCGGGACTCCAGGATCATGACCTGAGCCGAAGGCAGTCGCTCAACCAACTGAGCCACCCAGGCGCCCCTTTCTTATTTTTTTAAAAGTCCCAGTCTGGTTTGGAAGTGGGCCCTTACTTCTTTATCCTAAAAGACTCCTAAATGCCATATGGCTCAGCAGAATGTACACCTATGATGCCAGAAGCAATTCTACATCTGACTCCAGGACTGTTTTGCAGTGTGACTTCAGCAAGATCAATTTACTTCCAAGTATCAGTTACTTTACCCATATCTAAAGTGAGTTATAAAGTGATAATTAAAATCAAAGATGTGAAGTTTTAAAGTACTAAAAATCTTTAAAAAAAACAAATAAACAAGGAAAAAAGAAACAAACAAAAAAACACAGACTCTTATCTACAGAGAACAAACTGGTGGCTACCAGAGGGAAGGTGGGTGGGGGGATGGGTGAAACAGGTGAAGGGGATTAAGAGCACACCTATTTGGTGAGCACTAAGTAATGTAGAGAATTGTTGAATCACTGTATTAGACACCTGAAACTAATAGAACACTGTTAATTACACTTAAAATTTTAAAAAGTATTAAAAATCGAATGAACACGGTGTTTGCATGGCATGATACAACCTCAAATATCCACCCTCTTCTAAATATAGGGCCACATTTTAAAAACTTATATTCTATTGCTGCTGCTTGGAATTTTTTTTAATACCACACTAAATAATGCCACTTCTTCCTCGGTGTCTTTCTATGCCATTTTTCCTTGAGAGACAAGGAACAAAATACCATACTTTAAAGTTAAGCAATGGTGAGAACACACAGAATCACAACCATCTTTTCACTCCACTTTCCGGTTATCCTCTAACGAGTTTAAATTTTGCTAGTGAAAGTCTTCTAGAATGTTTTCTGTGAAACGCAAGAAACTACTACATTACCTAGTAGTGGTGGTAGTATTTTTAACACATTTCAATTTCCTGTTCACTCGCACATTATGACATCATTGCCTTCCAGTCTTTGGCCTCATTAAATAATTGTTTCTATTTTGTTCCCTTACCTCCAATGTATATACTGCAAACGTTCCACTGTTCCCATTATTTCAGTGAAGAAGCGCAATAAAAATGACTTTGTATTGCACACTCCTTTGCCCGGTAAATACACTTTCTCTTATCGCAACTGACTTGGAAAGGTCAATTTCTCACCAAAGACAAGATCTAGACAAGATCAAATAGCAAAAGCAAGGCCCAGTGGGAAGGGGGGGAGGAATCAATGTATCACCCAAACACGACGGATTCTAGGGCTTCCACAGATAAACAAAGGAAGTTGATTTTCCCACGACGCCGCCTGGGCTCCAACCAACCCTAAGCATTTGTGCGGAAGCCAACTGAGCTCATTACCTTGAAAACGCAGTCCAAGTGCTGAATTTTTCTAAAGGCTCCTATTATAGGTGGACACCCACCAGAAAGTCAATGGAGGCAGAGATGAATAAGGAACTGAGTGGGGCTGACCTTCGATTCCTCCTTCCACCCCACCAAAGAACCTAAACACCTACCAGCCCCAACATACCAACACAGAGCTCCTCCGCGGCTCAAAACACAATTTCAGGGGCAGCAGAAAGAAGGGAGTATGGGGAATGGGCTTCAGGTGCGGCGAGTGCGAGGAGCAGGTGTGAAGTTCAGAAGAGCCAAGGGCGCATAATGCAGCACCGAGCCGACCTGAGGGGAGTGGGCGCCGGCTGCGCGCGACCGCACGAACGGCCGGGGGCGTGTTCGAACCCCTTCCTCACCTGGCAGCCCTTCTTGTGATGAAAGCCGACCACCACGATGTGCAGTACGGGCCCCCGGGGGGCGCCATCGCCTCCCCGCCCGGTCTTCTCCATGGGCGGCCGCGGCGGGCCCGCAAGCCGACGACTTCAACCGCCAAGGGCGGCGGGCCGGGCGACCCCGCGGTCCCCAGGAGGACGGCGAGCGGCGAGTTTCGGGTGTCAGCGAGGGCGCCGCATGAGGGCCGCGCAGGGGGCCCGGAGGAGGCCGAGGCTCCCACAGCTCCGCACCGCCCCCCAGGGCCGCGGCCGCGCTTCCCTCATCCGCTTCCGCTGCTTCCGGGCTGTCACCTGATGCGGCGGCCGCCGCCAGCGAGGAGGGGCGGGACAGGACCCGGAGGGAACCTGACGGGGCGGGGCCTGGGTGTGGGGCGGGGTCCGAGGGCCTGGGCACGGGGCCGGGGGCGGGGCCTGCGGGGACACAAGGCGCTTCTATCCCCTGGCCCTTTCGTGCGACCTTAACCCGCTTTCTCCTCCTTTGCCCTCTCTTTTTCCTCCTTAAAATCTCCGCTCCTTCCCTCCTCTTTCTTTAGCTTTCCTCTTTTTTAACGTCTTTTCTTGTTCACTCTCCTTCATCCAATTCCTTCATCCATTTCCTTCGCCTCTCTGGCCTTGATAACAGGGAGTCATATTGGTGGGGCTCTATATCTGTGTATTCAACCTTTAAATTACTTGCTTCCCCAGGTTTTTTCTTTTGCTTCGTTCTAGGATTTTTTTTTTTCTTATTTAAGTATTATGTATAGGAGTTTGGAAGCGTTTCAAGGCCAGAAGTAAAATATCCTCAACAATAAAGGAAGTTTACAAAGAGACCTGTAAATGATTATTCTAGTCCCGATGTGTAAAAAAATATATATTATTTTCATTCTATCTTTTTCTGGCTTTAGTACTCTGGTCAGTACAAAATAAGTGTGATCTGTTGTCACCAGCATTTTTAATGTCCTAACTAATTGTACTACTTCAACTTTCTAAGACCAAAGAAGGGCGCCTGGGTGGCTCAGTCAGTTAAGCGTCTGCCTTTGGCTCAGGTCATGATCCCAGGGTGCTGGGATCGAGTCCCACATCGGGCTCCCTGCTCTGCGGGAAGCCTGCTTCTCCCTCTACCACTCCCCCTGCTTGTGTTCTTGCTCTCGCTATGTCTCTCTCTGTCAAATAAGTAAATAAAATCTTTAAAAAAAAAAGACTAAAGGATAGGTGCCTGCTTCAAATAGAATTCGAGATTACTGCAATAATTGGCTGTGAAGTTTACCATTACTGGTTGCATATCCCTTAGTTTAGACAACCTTAGCAGTTATTTTACATTTCAGTCCTTGTAATTTAAGGACTTGCATTCTAATTGAAGTATAGCTGAGAAAAACAGTAGGCTTCCTATAAACGAGTTTAGTTTCTATGATTCAGTAGAAGTATTTTAATGCTAATAAAAATATTGTAGAAAATTTTCAAGATGTTGCTACCATTTCTTTACAATATTACAAAATTCTTGGTGTTGGTTCAGAACTGTGTGTGAAACTATATTATTCCCTGTATGCAGAATATCTTACTGTTTTCTTCCATCTGCCTCAATATTTTCCACAATTGGCATAGCCAAAATTAAAGTGTAATAGAACAGTCTATTTTAAAAAGATGTAAGGGCATCTGGGTGACTCAGTTAAGTATCTGCCTTTGGCTCAGGTCATGATCCCAAGGTCCTGTGATTGAGCCCAGTATCCGGCTCCCTGCTCAGCAGGAAGCCTGCTTCTCCCTCTCCCCCTGCTACTCCCCCTGCTTGTGCTCTCTCTCTCCCCATCAAGTAAATGAATAAAATCTCTTTAAAAAAAACTTTATATCTACAGTGAACAATTATTTAATTCATTGTGCAGGAAACCCAGTTACAGCTTTATAAAAACCTGTAACACTTTGCATCCTAGACCTTCCAACTAAGATTAAATCATCTATTCATAACTATTATGTTGCTTAAATGCTTAAAAAGTATATTATGGGAAAACTGGGAGAGAAAGTAAGCAAGGGAATTTCCAGAACTTTTTCCATCTCTAAATATATAGACTGGTCCATTTAGCAGTTTAGAATGACAACCTTTACATTGTTTTTTTAAAAAAGATTTTATTTATTTGAGAAAGAGATAGCAAGAGAGCACGAGCAGGAAGTGGGGAGAGGGAGAAGCAGACTCCCTGCTGAACAGGGAGCCTGACATGGGGCTTGATCTCAGGACCCTAGGATCATGACCTGAGCTGGAGAAAGACGCTTAGCTGACCCAGGTGCCCCTTACATTGGTTTTTAAATGAGTTGTATTAATATAGAATAAATTCATGAACAAGATATTGTCTTTAAGGACAAATAGGTATTGAGAAAAAAAATAGAAATTTCTCCTTTATTTTAAAGTGTTGGAAGATTACCAAGATTGTAAATAATTTGAGATAACAGAATACTTGCTGAACATTATTTTGAAAGGAAACTTTTGCATGTATTTTTATGATGACATTTATCTCCAGGGGAAAAAAATTAGAAATGCTTTTCTGAACACATAAGTTGAAGAGCCTCTTCTAGTTACATATATTTTATGATGATTTATACATTCTATTTTATGTCAGCTCTGTAAGTAAGAGCTAAGGGGAGAAAAACCCTGGAGACACAGAGCAATGACATGTTTTCAAGTTCATTAAAAATGAACTCTCTTGTTTCTTTTTGCATCTTGCCTAAGGAGAGAACGTGATAAAATAAAACCACTCCATGCGATCCCCATTAACTCTACTGTGTAAATGAACTATATCTCCTTTTTCAGAATATAGAGACTTTCTTCTTTATCAATAGTATGAAAATTGCTAATGGAAAACAAAGTATTGACTTTCTCAAATTATATTTTTCCTGAATTTTATTTTTATTTTTTAAAGATTTTACTTATTTATTTGACAGAGAGAGACAGTGAGAGCAGGAACACAAGCAGGGGGAGTGGGAGGGGGAGAAGCAGGCTTCCCGCTGAGCAGGGAGCCCGATGTGGGACTCGATCCCAGGACCCTGGGATCATGACCTGAGCCAAAGGCAGACGCTTAATGACTGAGCCACCCAGGCGCCCTTTCCTGAATTTTAAAGTCTATCAAGTAGCGACAGTGCTTTGAATTTGGTCCCTACTCTCCTTATTGGTGTGGTAAAAATAAAACAAGAATAGAAATAGAAAAGAAAACCAGGGAAAGAAAAGGGCTTCACAAACAAATTTGGCATTACTTTGTCTTTAGAATCTTAAGAAGATTAAGGAGAATATTGATGGGGATGAATAAATAGTGAGAATCAATTTAAAGAACATTTATTAGGCCCTGCAGTACACCTGGAACTATGGTAGGCACAGTGCATCAAAAGAAATTGGCTCACTTGGTTAAGCGTCTGTCTTTGGCTTAGGTCATTATCCCAGAGTCCTGGGATCGAGTCCCTCATTGGGCTCCTTGCTCAGTGGGGAGCCTATTTCTCCCTCTGCCTACCTCTCCCCCTGGTTGTGTGCTCTCTCTCTCTTCTCACACAAATAAATAAACAAAATCTTTTAAAAAAATTTTAAAAATTGTTGCCTGGTCTATGTCTGGTTATAAAACAAGATAAATGTGAAACCAGCTAGCAATGCTAGCTTTTGTAGCACCTACTCTAAGCCAACCATCATGTTAATAAGTATTAGGAAATAAAGATAAACAAGCAATAAAAGCTTACATTTAATGGATAAGCACTGTGTCAGTCTGCTAGCCACTTTTCATGGATTATTTCATTTAATCTTCATAACAATCCTAAAGTAGATACTATTATCCTCATTTTTTTTCCAGTGGGTATATTGACACTTAGAAAGGTTAAATAACTTGCTGAAGGTCAAATAACTAGAAGGAATTGTGGTAGGGATAGGATTCGAACCAAAGTCATTTAACTTCAGAACCAATGAATGTAACTGCTGTACTCCAAAATTCTTGACATTGAGGAACTTACAGTCTTTGGGGAGGGAGGTAACCCCTGTAAAGATAATTATAGGAGAATACATTGAGAGCATTTTGAAAACTATTAACATTGTTGTGAAACAATGAGAGAGCCTACCAAGTCTGCAGGTCAGAGAAGCTTCACAGAGGTGGTCACATTTGAGCAGGTCTTGAAGGATGAACAGGATTTTACCAGAACTTGAGGCCAGAGCATCTGAAGTGCAATAAAGTAAAATCACGAAGGACTGAGCTTAAAGGAAAACATTTGGGAAGGGTAGAGTTTTATGCCAAAGTTAGAGGTTGAAATAAAAGTGCAGCAAAAGAGGTTTGGTGGTGGGCATATGCCAATTGCACATGGTGTTCCCTCTGTTTGGAATGCTGCTCCTGAGGCCTTTCTGCCTATCCAATTCTTATTTATCTTCCAAGACTAGATGTCTGTCAATTCCTTTGTGAAACTTCCCAAACTGTCTATGTGGGCAAGTTATCTAATCTCTCTGAGCATAAATGTTCCATTTGAACACCTGTCTCACAGGATAGTCATAAAAATTAGGTTTAAGTATATCTGTAAGTTTTCTGGCACATAGTAGGTGCTCAATATTTATGAAATGCAAAAAAGCCAGAATTGGCTTGGTGTTTAGAAGGCTGAACCCTAAGAAGTTTTGAACTGAAGGAGCCATCTGTTAGGACTTCTGAACCTTCTTACATTTTCCTTAAATCATACCAAGGATCTCTAGTTCTCTGAGTTTCCTGAAGCTAAGAGATCTTTTTGCTTTATATATTAAATTTTATATGCCTTGTACATAATGTTTGTTAGTAGTCTTTCCCATTCATCCTTAAGCTCCTACAAGGGCAGAAGATGTAGTTCTGTTTTGTACACTGTTTTATACTCAGCAAAAATGCCAAATAGTGTGTAACTAATGTCTATTTGTTCAATGAATGAATGATGGATGCACTGCAACTATCTGTTGTATGAATGAATGATTCTCTTTCTGGTCTCCTGTTTAGACTCTTCGCCTTTAAGTTCCTGGGATACAAATATAAAACAGATTTAAGGCAGAGAATTTGCTTTCTATTCTTTTCAAAACAGAAGTGCAAAAGCATGTTTCCTCAGTGTGATGACATTAACAGAGAGTGACATCTGCTGGTTACTTCTTAGACAAGACAGTTAAGTGTTAAAAAGTGAATAATAAAGTGTAATAAATTAGACTCCTAGATATGACAAGGTAAGAATGATAAAATAAGGTAGTAGAAATAAAAAGAAAACGTATTTTAAGTTTCCACCCTAGAAAAGTTAAAAAAAATGCTGGTTGTGGGTTTTCAATTCACTGGACTTTTAAAAGAAGCAATAGATTCTTTCTCTCTCTAAGTAGTCTCCCTATCCAGCGTGGACCCCAACGATGGGCTTGAACCCACAACCTGAGATCAAGACCTGAGCTGATATCAAGAGTCCAAGGCTTAACCGACTGAGCCACTCAGGCTCTCCAGGAGTAGATTCTTTCAAAAATGGTTTTTACAAAAACTGCAACACAGCGAACTGGTGGCGGAGAAAATGAATTGATTCGGTCTGAAAAAAGATCCTGACTTAAGATGAGATGCAACTTCAAAGGGGGCAATAAGACGACTCAAAGGTTGCCGTATTTTGCAAAACCTTCCGGGTTACTGCTTTATTCCCAAAGCAGAATACCTTTAAATTCTGTCGGAAACTGCCTGGGGAAAGCCGGTAACTGCCGACGCCGCACATTGTTCATTGTACAGAAATACTGAGGGCTCAGGGCCCGGGAAAGAAGCAACTGGGAGCGACTCTCGCGGACTGGTTGGCTCGCACATTCGGCCTCAGATTGGTCGAGCCTGCCCGGGCTGCCGGAAACGGGGGGGAGCGGAAGCGCGCTCTTTCAAACTCGCCCGGCAAACGTCGGTGCTGGTAGGCCACTTCCGGCGTAGCCATGGCGGCTAACGCTACTACCAACCCGTCGCAGCTGCTGCCTCTAGGTAATCGTAGGGAGGGGGACCGGAGCGTTCAGGTTAAGTGTTGTGGGCCAAGGGGCTTCGGCTGAAGTAGCCCTTAGCCGAGTGTTGGGGAAATGTGTGGATGAAGTGCTTTACTCCTTCGCGGCTCGTCTCTGGGCCCCCAGGTGTCTGTGGCCCCGGGCCGCCCATGCCTTTTCAGCGTAGTAGGGTTCCTTGAGGCGGGGACCTGTGACTCCCCAACCAAACCGTCACCCGAAAAGGTCCACACTTAGTAAATGCGTCGTCAGCCTTCTTTGTTGTGGGCTCGCCTCTACAGTCATGGGTAACACCCTCACTCCACCTAGCATTTGAGCTCTCCAGATTAGACCCTGTTGTATGTCTGACTGGTTATTGAGAGAAGCACCGGCACCTGGAATGACCCTAAAGGAGAGATCTGGAACCTGGTTTGTTATTCAGCAGTTACTGAGCCTCTATGCACTAGACACATGGCTGGGCTGGGCACTATTCGACAAATTTAAATCACACCTATTGCCTTCAGATAGCACACAAACCATTGGAGAAGATAGAACACTGGACAAGTAAACATCATGGCAAATATTGCTAAGCCAGCTAAAGAAATGTTCGAACTGCTGTCAGAACACAGAGATAGTGACAGGAAGAAATCTCTGGTGAAGACGGCTGTGCCTGTCTCTTACAGTATTTTGTAGCTGAAGAGTTGATTGAATTATTGGAGGTGGCCGTGACTTAAAAGTTTTCATTCCTTTGTTCCACAAACTCTTTTTGAATGCTTGGTATATGCCAGGCATTGACCGTTGAGGATATAGTTATGGGAAAACAACCACGGTCTCTGCTGTCATGGAGCTTAGACTCTGAGGGGAGGGGGTTCATATGTTAATTAGATAACCTAAAATAACATAAAACCACAATCGTGATAAATTTCAACAAAGGAGAGGTAAATGGTAAGCAGAAAATTTTTGTTAATTATGCAACAGGAATATGTACTATAAAATCTAAAGTTTTTGAATGAATACTTTTGCTGGTTTATCTTTTACCATATGCAAGTAACAAGTGCCAGTAGGCACTCAAATATTTGTTGAAGTAATGAATAGGTAAAATAATCTTTTTCTCTCCCCCTTCTCTCTCTCTTTTTTTAAATATATATATATAGAGCTTGTGGACAAATGTATAGGATCAAGAATTCACATTGTGATGAAGAGTGATAAAGAAATTGTTGGAACACTTTTGGGATTTGATGACTTTGTCAGTATCCTTTTAAAAGGTGGTGGTGGTATGGGTTTTTCTTCAGTATTTAAGAACGGAAATAATATTGACAGTACTTACTGATTATTATAACAAAAATTTATTCTCAGCGTGATAGCGTTCTAAGAGGTGTGTATACTGAAAGAAGATAAAAGTTTCTACCAAATACAAGTATTTTGTATTTGAGCCATTGTGTTAAACACTGTAATTAAAACCGAGTAAAGGTAGAAGCCAGAGTAAATTCAACCTTAACACCAAATTTCAGATATGGTACTGGAGGATGTCACTGAATTGTGAGTAGTGTTAAAAATTAAAGAAACGGTGGGGGGGATCTCTCTTTAAGTCATTTTTAGTATTAATGAGTTTAAAATGATTTATGAGGAAACATTGCTTGTTGGAAATACCTTAGAGATAGAAATTTTACCTACTGATGCTGGTAAAATTGGATCCTGCAGTGATTGCCATGATGTAATTATTAATGAATTGTTAGGAAGTTAATGGAGACAGAGCTTTAAGACAAAAACTAAAAACAGCCAAGGCTCTTTGGGCTCAGGCAAATCAAGGTACTGATAGTAAGAGCATTTAACTGTGTAGCATAAAATATAAACGATGACTCCATTATATTAGTTTTATTTTTATTTATTTTTATAATTTATTTATTTATTTGATAGAGACACAGCGAGAGCGGGAACACAAGCAGGAGGAGTGGGAGAGGGAGAAGCAGGCTTCCTGCTGAGCAGGGAGCCCAATGCGGGGCTCGATCCCAGGACCCTAGGATCATGACCTGAGCTGAAGGCAGACGCTCAACGACTGAGCCACCCAGGCGCCCCCCCTTATATTAGTTTTAAAGATCATAACCAGTGTCTGCTTTCAAAATTGAGTTGATTACAGTTTTGTTTAATGGATAGGGATTAGTAGTAAGTAAAAGTAAAAAAGTGAAACTAAGAAACATTCCATTTCATATTTGATCTCCTTGGCAAGTTTCAGCTTTTTTTATGAAGATCAGTCCTAGTGGGTGTGGATCTTAGTCCAGACAGTTCACTGTGCTGCCTTTGGTCATCCAGTGGATAACCTTTGTCTCTGAAAACCACAGATAAAATTGCTTGACCTCACATTCATTTATATACAAGAATAACTTTTTAGGGATCAGAATGTTGGCTTTGACTATCACTGTTTATCTTGACTCTATTTTATCTCTTTATTTAGTGAAATCACACCAGAAGGAAGAAGGATCACTAAATTAGATCAAATTTTGCTCAATGGAAATAATATAACAATGGTAAGACAGTGAAGCTGTTTTTTCTTTTTTTTTTTAAGATATTAGCCCATTTCTTTGAGGCAGGTATTACAGATTACCTGCCTTGACTAAATGTTCATGGCTCAGTGGTGCTTAAGTTGGGAAGGAGATGCTCTTGTGATCACGGCTCTAAAGCTGAGCTACTGAAGATGACAATAGGCTTAGAGATTAGTTTGCTTGGGCTTTTTAGTCTTTTAGTTTGCCAAGAATCCTTGTTTAGGCTCTAAATATTAATTGATGGTGTTGGGAATTGTAAACAGAAGCAATGACCTGGAGAATATGGGAATGTGAGGAAGGGGCAGAGAGGCACAGTGGCTTTGATTGATGAGGGGGGGTTTTTAAATGGTGTGGGTAGTGGTGTTACTAATAAACTCTTTTTCCTTCTCTGCAGCTGGTTCCTGGAGGAGAAGGTCCTGAAGTATGAATGGATTTCCGTGACTTACTCTGTTTTGTCTTATAATGACAACAAGATAGAAAATTTTTTTTAACCCTTTAATGTCTGGATTCTGTAAAGCTAAATTTCCCGTTAAAGGGAAATGTTTTGAAGATGCATTGTAAATGTTCATTTTTGTAAGTTAATCATTATTATCTTGGAAAAAGAACAGTTTGTTCTTTGAAGACTAAAATAAAAGTGTTTTTGGTTAACTGTCGTTTTATTTTTTGTACTGCAATAACCAGTGTAACAAAGATTGTAGTTATTTTGTCACTTGCTTTCCTATAATTTTATGCCCATTTGCTTCCTCATTTACGTGACCATTTGATTCTCAAACAAAAATTGTTCCAAACAAAATGACCAAATTTCATTTTGAACAGTTGCATTTTAAAAACCTAAAATGATTACTTACAAAATTCAATTTAAACTCCAATGCCTTGAAATGAAGATTTTTCTACTGAACTCAAGTTGCATTAACTCCTATTAAAAACAAGCAAACTTCCAATTATAAAATAAGTCTCGAAGATGGAAAGTACAGCATAGGGAATATAGTGTATAATATTGTCATGACATATGGTGACAGATGGTGACTACATGTATTGTGGTGAGCATAGTGTAATGTAAAAAATTGTTGAACCGACTGCCTTCGGCTCAGGTCATGATCCTGGAGTCCCGGGTTCGAGTCCCCCATCGGGCTCCCTGCTCAGCGGGGAGTCTGCTTCTCCCTCTGACCCTCTTCCCTCTCGTGCTCTCTCTCATTCTCTCTCTCTCAAATAAATAAATAAAATCTTTAAAAAAAATTGTTGAACCACTATGTTGCACACCTGAAATTAATAACACATTGTATATTGACTGTACTTCAATAATACTAAAAAGGGCAAAATATACAGGTAATATATGCACATTGTAGAAATGGAGATAAGTAAAAAGGGAAATATTCATTACACTTTGCTGTATAGCCTCTTAGATTTTCTCAGTATACTCAATACACGTTATTTTCACAAAAACGTGCTCATCCTGAATATACTGTTTTGTAGCCCCATTTAAGACTTAAAAAAAATTTAAATGATGAACATCTTTCCATGTCAAATATTTCAGCAATATTAGTGTTTGCATCATATTTCATTAAGTGGATATACCATAATTTAGCCTGTTTTTACTATTGGCCACAGTAGTCTAACTAAATCTTTATATGTCTTTATTTTTCTTAGAATAAATGGATAATGTGAGGTCAAAGGGTATAGTCATGTTGCCAGCAAAAAGTGTACCATCCTACACTTGGCCAGCAGTTTTTCATGGTATTCTTTTTCCCCGTAGTACTCTTTACATACTTCCCAACATTGGCTATGTTCTGCCTTCTTGCTTTGCCACTGTGATAGGCAAAACCTGGTATGTTTAGTTTTCTTTATTAATTTTGGACTCATTTGTGTTTTATGAATTACTTATATGAGGCTTTGCCATTGAGATGCTTGTCTCTTACAAATTCGTAAGAATTCTTAAGTTACTCTTAAGTCATGTATTTTGCAGATAATTTTCCCAGTTTATAGTTTCCCCGTAATTGCTACTTTTTTTTTGACATAATGTATCTATGTAGTCATATGTTGATCTCATCTTTTATGATTTTTGTCATTGGTACAGGTGGATTAGAAAGACCTTTGGTATGATTATATTTTTGGTACTTTATGTTTTTTTGTTCCTTTTAAATCTTGCATCTATCATCAATTTTAGTGTTTCCATAACAAAAAAGGATCCAACTTTCAAGATTTTATTTATTTGACAGCACAATCAGGCAGAGCAGCAGGCAGAGGGAGAGGGAGAAGCAGGCTCTCTGCCAAGCAGGGAGCCCGATGCAGGACTCGATCCCAGGACCCTGGGATCATGACCTGAGCCAAAGGCAGCAGCTTAACCGACTGAGCCACCCAGGAGCCCCATCTTTTTTCTTTTTTTTTAAAATCCAACTTTATTTTCCAAAAGACAAAGCACTGCTTTGTGGTCTTTTTTTCTTTTTTTTCATGGTATAAATACTCCTACTGTGGCTGATTTCAAGCTGCCAAGGGTTTAACGGCTAGCTTGCAAACTTCCCCAAAGATATAAGGGTTGGTTCTCAGGAGCTACTAGGAGCCTGTTGCGCTCCCCGCTGCCCCAACTTCTGACCCTTGCAGGAGAATGTTTTCCTCCAGTTATTTCTTTCTCTTTGGAGGGAGATCAAATGTAATAGTGCCCTCTTTTCACCTTTTTACTTATCATCCAATGGGAAATGGGTGGTCATGTTCAGCTCTTAATTTTTTTTCCTAGGAGTTAGCCTGCAAGGAACTCGTCTTCTTAGGTTCAACATGCTAGGAGTTTTAGAGAAGCCTGACCTCACTTAGGGAGGCATACAATCACCTAGTCTGTGGCAAGGTGGATGAGTCTACCAGGGTTCTTGCCTACAGATAAGCGATATCCCTTAATCTAATCTTTAACAGTAATAAAGATGATAGTATGACTCCCATCTGCTTCTGCTTTTGTCTTATGCTACAATTCGTTTAGATTGGGTACTACTCTACATAAGCGTCTCTTAACCTTGACACTATTGACATTTTTGTCTGGATAATTCTTGGTTGTGTGGACCATCCTGTGCATTGTAGGATATTTAGTAGCATCCCTGGCCTCTACCACTAGATGCCAATAGCATCCTTCCTCTTCTTCTTCTTTCCCCAGTTGTGACAAAAATGGTTCCAGATGTTGCCAAGTGTCATCTTGAGGGCAAAATAATCACCCATGGTTGAGAATCGCTGTTGTAAATGGCAAGGATGCTATTTATTGGACTCTTCAAAATTCCCAAATATTTGGTGCATGGGTGAGGAGCACTGTATCTAGACAATGAATAAAAATTGGGAAGAAAATGCTGTGAGTGAATATTCCAGTGGGGTAAAATGGGTGGTTTGAAGCTGAAATGACCTTGTATTAGGTGCTGACCATATAGGATTTTCACTTTGGCAGGTTGCTGGTGAGTGGCTGTTCTTCCATAGGGGTTGTTTCCTCTCTGGAGGCAGGGCTGCATGTGCTGAGCCCTAGAGTGATGGTGAGGCCTCAGCAAAAATGAGAGCAGCAAAGGCAGAAGGTATGCTGGCATTGGTGACTTGTGTAAGTTTTTCTCAAATTTTGGTTTGAAAACTGCTATCAGAATCACTCGGAGACTAGTAAGGAACACAGAGGTCCAGGCTTGTTGAAGTGGGGTAGGGCCTTGGGCCTTTGTATTTTTGTAGTGTTCCCAAGTTCCCCAGGTAATTCTAATCCTCACCAAAGCTTGAGCCCCACTGCCTTAGAGTGTAGGCTGCTGCAGGGCTAGTTTTTAAAGTAGGTGTGACTGAAGCAAGGTTTAATGATAGAGATGAAAATCTGTATATATTAGTGGACAGAACAGTTTTTGCTGCATTTAAACTGCAAGGCAGCTAAGTTCCATGAGTATTATGGAGTACTAGTGGAGTTCTAGTTTACATTGTTAGTGCCAACTCTTGGTGGGCAATGATTCATCTGCAGCCTTGAATGCCAGACTTTGGTCTGGACCAAGAAGGAATTTGTCCATAGGCTTGGGGGTCACTTCCCATCCATGTGGTCTCAATTTCATCCTTGAGGGTTGATTTGTTGATTACACAAGCTCTCATCATGCCTTAGATTTCAGGGTCCAAAATTGCAGTTTCACCCATAGAGGTGTGGTAGATTTCTATCAGTAAAGAAAAAAATGTGGGCCCTTATTGTCAAGGGAATATGACATCTAGGATTGAAGGTGAGAAAAATCTCAGTGAAATCGTTGTAAGCCAAAATAGGAATGCCTATGCATGGGGCCTTTTAGTTTTCAAATTGTATTTTGTAACAAGTTCAGACTTGGTTGCAAGATCCAGAAAGAGGTCCCACATACCCTAACTCAGACCCCACTCAGGTTTTTTTTTTTTTTACGATTTATTTATTTATTTATTTGAGAGAGAGAGAATGAGATAGAGCATGAGAGGGGGTAGGGTCAGAGGGAGAAGCAGACTCCCTGCTGAGCAGGAGCCTGATGTGGGACTCGATTCCAGGAGCCTGGGATCAGGACCTGAGCCGAAGGCAGTCGCTTAACCAACTGAGCCACCCAGGCGCCCCCCCCCTCAGGTTTTATCAGTTGCCCCAAAGGTGTCCACAGCACAGGCTTGCAGTCCTGGATCCTGTGCTGTACTCAGTGGTCATGTTTCTCCAGTCTCCTTGAATTTGAAATTGTTCTTCAGTCTTCCCTTAACCTTTATGACTCTGGTATTTCTGAAACTAGCCATTGTAAAAAATTCCTCAAATTGGATTTGTTGTCTCTCCATGAGTAAGCTCAGAGTGCATTTCTGGCCGGTGTACCACAGGAGTAGTGCTGTTCTTCCCAATGCAGCTAATTGCACATAATGTCGACTAGTTCCATCTCTAATGTTGTTAACCTTGAGTTTTGATGATTGTCAGGTTTCTCCATTGTAAAGTTAAAATTTCCTCCATTTTTACTAAATATTTTGTGGGGTGATTTTCCAAGACCTTGCAAATATCCTTTTCATCCTCCCACTTTAACCCATCAGTTTTTGTATTCATCAATGTTTCTTACTGACATTAGTTAGTAATTTTTACTTAATTACTAAGTCGTGTATTAGAAAGCAAGGTAGCAGTGAGACTAACAGGGATAAGACAGAGGAAACTACTTGAAGGTGGATGTGTCCAAGTATCACAAACAAAATAAGGACTAAATATTGAAACATTTTGACAGACTTAATCAACTTTATCCAAGGTTGACTGTGACTGAATCTTTGGTTGTTGCCCATTTCATTCTTAAATTTAAGAATAATCATGAATGACATAAACTGACCACTAGAGGACACTGTGGAACAGGCAGCTAGTTGCTGAAGTCCATGCTTTGGCGCTCTCCCCAGAGGTTTCTGGTCTTCCACTCTGTTGTACTTACATTGGATCGCACCACAAGGGCAGGTAAAGGGTTGAATCCTTACTATTTTACACTTATTTTTTACAAAGAGGAATCTTTTCATTCATATTTTCTGTATGAGGTGCCTTTTTTACTGTAAAAAATTATCTTTTAAAAAAATATTTGAGAGAGTGTGTGCACAAGAAAGGGGTCTCCACTGAATGTGGAGCCTGATGTGGAGCTCGATCTCATGACCCAAGCCAAAATCAAGAGGTGGATGTTTAACCAACTGAACCACCCAGG